TCAAACCATTCAATATCCCCTTCTGTTTGAATGGCTGCCTCTTGGTCTACATGAGAATGATTGAGTTTCTGGAATTCCCATTCTTGACAATGTTATTTGTAACTTATGATGATCCACACAATCGAATGACATCGTCACTAAAACACAGGTAAGTGTCTTTGTGGTATTCTCTTTCAGCCAAAATGCATCTGACATCAACAATAACATCCACATCTTCTGAATCCAGCTTGCATTTCTCGGAAGTTCCCTATTGACAGACAGCTGCAACTGTTTCTGAGTTATCTTCAGCCACATTTTACTTGCATGTGGTATTAACAGTATTATTTGATAATTTCCACATTCTTTCGGATCACCCTTCTTTGGAATGGGCACAAATACAGTTCTCCTCCCATCAGTTGGCCAGGAAGCTGTCTTCCAAATTTCTTGGCATTACGAGTAGGCACCTCCAGTGTAGCATCCATTTGTTGAAACATCTCCATGGGATTCTCTCAATTCCTGGCTTTTCACCAATTCCATCAGTGCAGCTCCTCCTTCTTCCTTCAACGTTATTGGTTCTTGATTATATGCCACCTCCTGCAATGACTGAACGCTGACCGATTCCTTTGGTACAGTGTGTATTCCTTCCATCTTCTGATGTTCCCATATCGTTCAACACTTCAGAATAGAACACTGAGTATTTTTCAAAAACATGAAGAATTTATTCTAGCTGACCTAGTCTATAGTTATTTTAAATTTTTAATTTGGTTGTTCAGAAACTACACCACTCCAGCAATCTCTACACAACCAATTCCGTGACCTCGAGTATGTTCAAGTTGTGTAACCATTCTCAGCCTCCTTTTCTGAGCGCTTCCCCATTTGCATATTCTCACTGCCTCCTAAGCTTCTGATCTCATCTTTCCAGTTGCTGTTGTCAGTTTGATCTCCTAGAGAGTTCTTAGAAGAGCACAGGACTCAAGACAGACGTTTTTTACTAGTTAAGCTGGACCAACGGTTTGTTTTAGGAAGACTTCTGGGGACACACACGCACTTACTCTCTCCCTTCATCTTACGCCATCATTTCTGTTCTTGTTCTTTAATTTCTCTCTTTATTTCCCATTTCCAGGCTCTTCGATTCATCCTGAAGTTCCAACTTTCCTCTTGGGATCGCTCCTGGGAGCACAGAGGCCCTGCCTGTCAGCCCAGGTTACGCCCTTCATTACTGGACAAGGCTGTCTCCCGGTATGCAATTTGGCTGTGACAGTAGACCCAACCTCCAGCGCTGTTGTGAGGGTTGAACGAATTCAGCTAAAAGCACCAGTATTTTCAAAGGAGCCCTGGTGGCTCAGTGGTTAAACACTCAGCTGTAAACCAAGAGATGGGCGGTTTGAACCCAACAGCTGCTCTGAGGGAGAAAGATGAGGCAGTCGGCCTCTGTAAAGACTGACAGCCTTGGAAACCCCCTGGGGCAGGTCTCCTTAGTTCGGCAGGATCACTATGAGTCAGAATT